TAACGTTGTGACGTTCAAAAGCCTCAAAGTGCCCCGGCGCATTGTCCATCAACAAAAGGATCCGACGTCCAGTTCGTTTTTTCACTTCTGGCAGAAATATTTTGTTGAACCACTTTCAACATGTTTCCTTATACATCCAAGCTTTACATGGATTGAAATAAGGAACAGACCACTTATGATCCTTGATACATGTAGATTCTTTTGGTTTGCCGATCAAAGCGCCTCAAAGCCGATCAAAGGAATTTTGTGAGTTTCAACTACGTTGGCACACACGATTAGAGAAATCTGATCTTTGGATTTTTTCTTCCTTCTGGTAGTCAAAATGTGTTTATCTGGCAATAGAAGACTGTACCTTGGCAAGAGACGGAAAAAAAGTCCTGTTTCGTCCATATTGTAAACGTTTTCCGGTTTATAATGAGCAATAGTCGCATAGAGCTCGTCCAAAGTTGATAGCAATTGTGGATCGGTCTTGTTGACTTCAGCTCTTTCTCCGTGAAGCAACATCTTCTGCAACCCTCGTCGTTGCCTGAATCGACGTAGCCATTGCCATGACGTCTTGAAGTCGGTTTCCAATATCGATAAACTCACTGCAATGCTTTTCGCCTTGGCAATGGCGAGAGATGGTGGAACAAGAAGATTGGCTTGACGCATCGTGTCAATCCAGATGTAAAGCATGTCTTCAACCTCGGTGAAACAACCAAGTGACGATCAAAACGTATTTTGTTTAGCTTCTTCCCACATTAAAGTAGATCTTTCTAAAACCTGCTGCTGCTTCTCCCACACTTTTTTGATAGCGCCTACGCTCACATCGTATTCGCGCGCTATATAATTTTTACTATAAGAATTTGTTTTGCTCAGCTTCGCTACTATTTCGCATTGCTAAGACTCATTGAGACGTTTTCCATTTGTGTTCTTCAACATTTCAATAATGCGAAACGGTGAAGGTGAAGAATGAGTATGCTTGAGCACTTGGCCCGCTTAGATTGTTGCAGGACATGTTGAACATGAAGACGGAGCTCGTTATCGGAAGCTACTCTTTGAGTTAGGGAACCACTCAACAAGTTATTGGCAAGGTTTGGAAAGAAAGAAAGCTACAGTAGCGTTGCCGAGAGTTTGCCGTGATGGCTTATGTTTCATGACAGATTTGTCTAAACTACGCACCTACCGGCTAAGTACGCACAAAACTACTAGGTTCAAGGTGCGTACCTAACCGGAGACTACTGTACTTTTGAATCTTTTGTGATACAAATACAAATTTTAAATAGTTGCATGATATCGTGTATTTGCATTTTTTTACTAAGATGCATGTGTTTGTAAGATGACAATCATCTTTAAACTCTCCGAGTATCTAGTATTGATACACGATTGAAACTTTTGCATTTCAAAATTCATGATAATCTACTCAAGATATTATGTGATGTTTATTTCTTCTGGATTTAAACGGTTTTCAAGTATAATCATAAGCTATTAGATTTTTAAGAAAGTCAATCATTGACAACAATTTACATAGTGTGTGAAGTATTATAGACTATGAAATTTTATAGCCTAAAAATTTATCATTCAAATGATTGACTTTTTATGAATCTAGATCATTATAAGGTAGGTGAATTTTCAACTTATTTATGCTAACAAGATCAAATTTTTAGCCATTAATTTTATTGAAATAATGATTATCATTATTTTTTAATGATAAAATTTTAATAATGTCACGAGCAGAAGTTTTGATATAGATTATGCACAATTGCAAAAGGTAAAAATTTGAAAAATAATTTATACGTTTTACACTTCAAACATTATACAACAATTTAATATCAACAAAGTAATCTATTTAAAAATAATGAAATCAAATCTTTGAAGTTTTTGCAAAATTTCACATAATTATATTTATCAATTACTAGATTATGATGAAAAGTATGATGATGACAATAGATTGATTTTGAAAAAATAATAGTTGTATATTTTTAATATTTTTATTAAGTTTGATTTAAATATGTTCATGGAACATGAGATCTAATCATTGATTGATAAAAAATGGTGGAATTTAATGAAGAGTTCAAAAGTAAGAATCTTTACTCATAAATTCTTCTATTTTCTTATGAAAAAGCTTAGTGAGTTTAAGTGAAATATGTTCATGGAGCATGAAATGTAATCATTGATTGATAATTACCATTTACCATAACAAGATGTGAAAGCTAATTAGTATTGCAAAAAAAAACAATATCTGAGCTCATACTGCATATACTATCTTTTTTTGATAGAAAATATATGTTAGATGACAAACACAATCTAACATAGGACAATTAGTAAAAGAGTAGAAACATCTTTAATGATTTAGCATTTTACTCATAAAAACCGTGGACTACAACAAAGTATTTTTGATTGTAGCAAAATATTGCACAAATCAACTGATATGTAATTGATGTGATATTTGATTTAGTATTTCATGAGAAAATTGTAATTAAAATATTTTTTTAGATATCTAGATAAAAAAATGCTACATTAGATAAAAAATTGATTTTAAGAGATAAAATTAAGAAGAATTGGTTTATAAATATTGAAATAATAATATAGATAAAAATATGTTTAAAAGCAGTAGAATGCAAGGTTTGATAAGTATGTGAAAACATAACAATTTTCATGAAGTTTATTTGATCTATTTGTATATATGAAACATGTGAATAGATTTGATCTTCTTTAGACTTAAAATTCATTGTTATGACTTGCTGATTTTAACAAAAAAATCAATTCGATGTTGATGAATGCAAGAATCAACTAAAGTTTGTCATTTATGATGAAAGATTTTGATAAATGCAAATTTATATATAAAAGTTGATGCTAATAAGAATTTGAAGAAATGGAAGCTATGACTATATCAACACAAGAATATCCAACTTGTCTATGAAAATTTGTTTTACATGGCTGATTTTACATGAATTTGAAATTTTTTGATCACTTATTTTAATTTTTTTAATAAATGAAAATTTGATTTTTGCTATTGGGAAAAAAGATGTACATTTATCTTGATAAAAAAAGTAACTCAATGTATGTTTTGTTGTGCAATAGACATGAAATTGCTCTAGCCATGAATAAGGTGAAAAATTTCATATCAAATTGAGGATAAATATATTCAAAAGCCATGATAGAAGATTTCAACAAAAATATATTATTATGTTTGATGTTTTATTAGACTTTGTCTAATTGATTTTAAGATATGTTGATTTTGTAGAGAAGATCTAGACAAGAGAAAATCTATAATTGGATATGCTTTTACCTTTGGTGATGGATGCATTTGAAGATTTTTTTTCAATGAATGAAAAATTTAATTCATAAGAAGAATTAAATGTGTTATGAAAATATTAAAAGAAAATAATTTATATAGCTTAATAGACTTATGCCTGAAATGAAATTCAAGTGCTATCATTATAATAAGTCTAATGCAATATATATTTTAGCTTATCAACTAATCTATAGCAAGAAGAACCATATCAATATCATGTTTTATTTTATCAAAAATACAGATGCCAATTACAATGTTGAGCTAGTCAAGATTAAAGTTAAATGTAATCTAACAGATGCATTGATAAAGTTATTGCCACAAAGAGTAATGAAAAATATTGTGTTGCCTAGATAGAAGATAATTCAAAAAATTATACAGAAACTTTGAAGTGTTAATATATATATATATATATATATATATATATATATGTCTTTCCAACATGTAAATGGAAATAAGATCATTACCCATGCAATCTATATTGCTCCTTGTGGAATAATATATGATGGAGGCAGATGGATGACATGTCACTTTCAACTAACAACTTTTATCTAAAAAGCATACAAATTTTTAGTGTGTTGATTTTCAATAATATTATGATCTTATCAATATGCACACATATAGAAAATTTACTACAAATCAACTTTATCCATATTTTAAATAATGTTCTCATTTAGTTTTAGATAACTAAAGATTTTTATATATGTGTTGACACCAATTTATTTCTAGTTAACTCTAGTTTATAGAACATTTTATATGAGGTTTCTTTCCATGATCATGATGAAAGTAAATAAATATACGGCAAAACATGAATCAACGAAATGATTTTTAGGAGGTAATGAAAGTATTATTAATTCATATTACTTTTATTCTAGTTAGTGGAAAATTAATTACGCTCTTAGTATTAAAAGTAGCTGGTTATAACTCTCAATGACAAATGTCTGATGCAGGTTAACCATGCATTTCATAGTTTGACACACCATCCACTCTTCCTCTAGGTGGAATTTGAATTTTTTTCCACATTTATGTGATAAAGAGTAGTTTAGTAGAAATATATTCAGGTGTTGTTACCATTATTTCTAGTAGTTAACTTGTTACAATGTTAACTACATGGATTTGTGACACTAATTTTAGGTTTTTGAGTAAAAAAATTCCGAAATTTCTAATTTTTTTATTTCGAAGGTTTTATGAATCTTATGTTAGTGGATAATATTACTGATATTCACAAGAAAATTTTGATGGATTCGTATTTGAAATTTAGATTCGTTGAGTAATACATGTAAATGTACCGTAATGAGATATATGTAGATGCAAATTTCTAATTTTGTTCAACTGTTGTAATTGAAGTAAAAGTGTTATTTATAATTCCAAAAGTAACTAAAGAATATGAAGATAAGGGTATAAGAAAATAAGTTTGTCTTCAATTAGTATATACACATATAGTTGCATATTATCATGGATATTATAGATCATATCTTGCTGCCTTTTATATAGAAGATATTCATTTATTTAATATTCTCTCTTTTTTACAGTTTTCCAGATTTAACAATTTGAAAAAATAAACCATGATTATAAAGATAACACATTCAAAGTAGTTGCTCCAATCTATTTCTTATTTTCACAGTTGAAAATTGAAAAGATTACATGTTTAAGTAAAACATTAGAGAAGAGAGATAATTGATCTTTCTAGACAAAATTCACAGGATGATATTATGGAGTTATCTTGTCTGTGACAAATAACTTACAAAAAGAAGCTTGAAGCTTAGACGTCTATTGCAATTTGTCTTCGTTGTGAATACCAGCTACAATTGTAAATAGTGGGTTGAGCTTATGAAAGTTCAAATCCCAGTGAAGACAACCCCAGGAAGGAAAATACAAAACACGGGTAAAAAGATTGGCAAAACCTATGGTAAAAAAATGAATGTAAACTTCTACAAGTGTACAGGATATTTCTAAACATGTGCGGCATATGTACTATTTACTGCGCCTTCTTCTCCCCCCTGTGTCTGTCATAAGGCACAGGTTGAGGAAGCTTCTGGCTTTGCTCCGCTTTCTTTTCCTGCTCAGTCACATGAGGTTCAGCTGCATGCTTCTTTGGGTGCTCTGCCATGTACGTTGCTCGTTGTTCGGCGTAGGTCTCAAATGCGCGGGGAAGGAACATTGGGATGAGGAAGCAGAACAGATTGATAATGAAATAAACTGTGTTTGCAACGGCCAGAGCACGTCCAAACAACATCCAGGCGTAATCCTGCAAATTTTCAAATCCTCAAAATATTTAGTATGACTGATTTACGGAAGCACTAATCCCCCTCATTGTTCCTCGGTCAGTCAGTGGGAACTTGCAGTCATACAACGGGGCCAACTCCAACTGGAATAGGAATGACAACTGTCTTTAATGAAAGGGAGTTAAGAGGTAATATTATATGGTACTCTAACTTCTATTCAATATTTACTTTCCAGTGCAAGTTTCAGCTTTGCTATACATCATAGTTGGATGCAAGTTGTGGCCGAGATATAACTCAAGCATTGTCTGAGCGATTATCTCACGCTGGTCCATAAAGTCTAAGTTTCTGAATGATCCAAATATCTTGGCTGTTCATTTCTGAGTTCTTGGAAGAAGACATAGTAAAAAAATTGAAGTAAACATTCCTACAAAGCAAAGAGGGGAAGAGACTTACGGGAAAGCGTGGGTCGAATGGATGATCGGGTTGGTTGGAGCTGTGAGCTTGTACGTGAGTCTTGCTGAAGGTGTCGACGGTCCAGTCGCACAAGGTGAAGATTCTTCGAGTAGTGTACAGGATTGGCAGGAGAGCTCTCACGGGAAGGGAGAAAATGCTCAACCCACTGATGACGTTTTCACTGAGAACTTGGAAAGAGAGGAGGAAAAGATGAGGAGTAGCAGCTCGTACTGCATGTTGGTCACCACGGGCGAAGCCACCCAACACGTAGGCTAACGGAAGGAAGAGGCCGATGATTGTTCCGAGGATAACATAGAATTGGAAAAAGCGGTTACCTCTAAACACGTCCGGTACTCCTTTTGATCCATAACTCGGAAACACCATAGCAGACAATGCAAATGCATATATCGATAGAATGACAGGAAAGGCCAGATCTATCAAGGGAACAAGACCACTGGCAGAGAACACAACAATGAAGGCAACAAGCTGCAACTCGATCACTCGAAGTGATCCCATAATTCCTCCAAGACCCGAAGCTGAGTTCTCTTCACTCCTCTTCCGGAGCTCTCCTTCGCCAGGTGTGGTTCCAAGTTGTGAACTGCGAGGCCCCGAAGCTAATGTGGCGCCCGACATCCTGACCACTCGACGTGCCAATTCTGTCTTTCACTTCGACAGTGATCACTCTTGCGAGGAAATAATTGATTGATGGACTCTCACACCTCCAGCAAACGCACAAAAATAAGCACAATTTTGTCTTTTGGACACAGAATTTCGCTTCAACGAGCGATGTGCTAGAACCAAAGAAATTACAACCTTTGGATGAATGGAACTCCACTGCTTCTGCTCGGATGAATCGCGAGGCTTTAACCCTCTGAAGGAACAACGTTGGAGAATCGCAAAAGTGCAGAGAAAGGCGGGGAAGCTGAATCTGGATCCAGGAGCAAGTAGACGCATGCGTCACTTGTCACCGCCGGGCACAGCCGCGTGGAAGCCTACTTGGACTAATCTGCCACGTCGAGCCTCCAATCAAATGTCAGCAGCCCATTGTGCCAAGTGTCTGCGATGCTCTGTGACTGACGAGAACAGTGGTCCTTTGATTTGCAATTAGCTGATTTTTCAAAATTTCTACCTTCACATGATTGATTGACTTCATTTCTGAATATGTATTTATTTTTTTAAAGACTGGGTTTCTGTGTTTCTGCTTTATATAGGTAGGGAAAAAACAAAATTTCAAGTACTCCTAGGATCGGAGTCCACGATAAGTTTGCATCGTCGGGTCGCGAGTAAAGAATTTCTCCACGACCTAATTTTATGTAATTGGGTCATTTGTCTGTGCTGGCTGTTGCTGACGCGATCTCGCGATGAAGTGATGCGCTGCGTAGTCTGGTAATGATGCACTATGTCGGTCATGGTACTCACCGTCCGCAGTCGTATTAGGAATACAGTGCTGAATCTCTCCACTCTTTGGCCAAATCTGAAAATCGAGTTTCAAGGGCAGAATTCGACAGAGAGAGGTTGAATTTTTGGAGCTGGAGAAAGCGAATGTCTTAACAGGATACAACAGATCGCTCTCCACTATGCTCAGAGTCATGAATACATGGTTCTTGAGGTCCTCTGACTCTTCGACAACTGCAGTAAGTCACGTGAGATCGAGTCCGCATCTTCATTAGTATGACGCCCGGAGAGAAAACTGGTCATGTTCAGTCGTAACTCAACCAAGCTCAGAGTTGTTGCTTCATCGGTCGAAGTGAGGATGCAAGCCGATGCTCCTCCCTCCACCTCTCTTATGGATTTGTTCCTGCATGTGATTTTATAATTTTCTTATCTGTCATATTCCCATTTCGTGGCTTGAGAATTAGTTCAGCTGAACCCTTAGTATATGAAATGGTCAGACGGTACACTTTCTCCACATCTGCAATCGTCTGGTGCTACGAAGGTAAGAGCAGTAAGATTAGCAAAGCAGCCAGTTCTTTAGATGACGCTGATCGATACAGTATTCTACGATGGATTTCATGCCACTTGAGTTGCAGTAGAACAGTGGGGCAAGTTGTTCTCGGACCTGCAAGTTGTTCTTGTCACCCATAGGGGACACAGAAGTTGTGCAGGGTGCAATTTGGTTTGATTCTTTATGAGCGAACTGAAAAGAATATGATTCCAATATCTGGCGCACATTGTCACGAAAGCAGGTGTTGAGAATACGCATGCGTACTTGGGAGTTCCAGTTTGCGTTCCCAATTCATGACATCATTCCAAATCTGGACTTCCATGTACACTCTGTGCCATAGTGCAGAGAGGAAGAATGCTGCTGCTCGTCATAGCAACACCCTATTACCATGGATCGTGCATTATTCTTGTCCCATCTGTGAGGAATATGACAGTCGCTTGGCACCTGGTCCCCTAAGCACTGGGTCAGAAAATACTTCTACCGAGTCTCTACAGAGCATCTGAACTCTCTGTCACAAGCCCCAACTGTTGCATCATAAAACGGATGCGAAAGTCATCAATCGATTCCACAGTCGAAGCATTTACCTGGCAGAGAACAAACCTTCCTGGATTCAGTCCAGGAAGGTCTCTATCCTCAGTTAACAGGAGGAGCAGCCTCGGATTAGTGGTTACCAAGTACCCATCATAGACCTTATGCTCAGAATATGAACTGGAATTGAGTTGGCAGAGAGTTTGGTAATAGAGGACAGTATATTTTACTGAAGCGACCCTTTCAACATGCACAAACCTTATTCTCTGCATGGCATGACGAAGAAGCTCCTCAGTCCCTTCCCACATACAGTATTCTCCAGTTTACACCACGAGGGTTGCACTTCGCGACCTTCATGCACATCTCTTTCGTACTGCTGACTGATTAGACGGTACAAACTTCTGACTATGACATACCCCACCCACCGCAGCAGTGTTATCTCTCTGCTCCGGTATGCTTTCGCTCATCATGTTCTCATCTCCAGTTCGTGCCCTGTCTTAGGGGTTTGAGAACGCCTGGCTAGTCTTCTTTCCAGTTCCACCGATAGTCATGGCTAACATCAACGCATCTACAGGTTCAGTATTTCAAGATGCCTACGTGTTTCCAGGTGCATAAAACGGACTGTTCTGGCCGGGTTTTGAACTCACGAGGAAAACAGAGCTCAGACATATTATGTGTGCCAGTGTGATCAAGGACAGGTTTGGGCATACAATCTGTAATCGTCATCAATCATCATCCCGATGTGCACTTGCGGGTAGACTTACAGCGAATCCGTGAAATTGATCATGTTCCACATTAGTACCCACTTATACCGGAACAGATTAACTTCTTAACGGGTAAAATAGATTATTCGAACAGAAGATAGAATTCTGTTCGAACGCATTGTGACGGGTAGACCAGGTTGTAGACATCACAGCTTCATATTGTGCAGGACTTCTTGTACAGAATTTAGAACCATTCTTATCCTTTAGGTAAATCAAATCTACGAAGTCAGGTTAAGCCGCAAGTGTGAACTATGATCCAGAGTCAATTCTCAATGTATGCGAGATTGCAGTACTTCGAGCAAGGATCCCAACTTCTTATTTAATCGTCACTTCTGCTTTTGAAAACTACATGCTAATGCATGACTGAAGCCGAGATTCTGTTATTGCTATTTCTAGGGTTACTGAAGGTTACAGGCATCTGAAGCATATTCTCCTCCACAAAAATTTGGTGTCTCCAGGCACCATCAGTAGTGCACAGTTTCGTTCACACTAGACCTTTTCAAAGTGCAATCACTTGATGTGCGCGACTTGTTGAAGCTCCGTCTGCCTGCAAGTTGAGGTTGTGTCTTGCTTCGAAAAAAATTACTTCATCGTCTGAAAGGGTATGTGGCGGCATGTTCAAAGAAGAAGATATATGTGTGTATCTGATACACACCTTGGCATATAAATATCCGTATAGCAAATGCAGTATTCACAAGTTACTACCGTCACCCTCTTATACGTCAAGTTGATACTTCGAACTGCATATATCATTCGATATATGCAGAATATCATTCGATGAAGATACATTCGTGAATCAGTATGTATTAACACTGAGAGGTCTAAGAGGTCTAAGTAGGCAGCAAGGAACCTCTTGGACATAAGCCTGATATGAGTGGACCTAGAGGAAACCACTAAGTTGAATCACAAGCTTAATCTAGGTGCCGGATATGGGAGTAATCATAAATTACAACCGATGCCTTATATCCGGATCAAACACTCTCTCACCTCCTAGAGCAAAAAACTGTATCCACTATGGACAAGTTTAAAAACTACACTTTTTTACAAGTTAAAACTTGAAGCTCATTATCTACCGTGGTGCTATACAGCACTAAATATAAATTCCTAACACTTGATGCTTTGTGATCTCGAGAGATTGATTCATGATCATTAAGAACCTTATGACCAGAGCTGGAGAGCTATCTCGATGAGCTTTCATGGAGATTGTAGATCAGACTCAGGCTAGCCTTGATCACATCTTGGTATTGCATTCAGACGCATTGTTGTTGCACACAGTTGGCTATCTCTGCCTCAGACACTGTCCATGTTGTAGCAACTTTGTACAATAAACACCCGTTAAGTTCATCTTTTGGGCCCATATAATCGAATGGAAATGTGTAGAACGTGCGCGGGTGGATAATCAAGAGGCCTATGTCAAATGAAAATGCTACACAATTATTTACTCTGTGCAGAAGCTCAACTAGTTTTATTCCCAACTGCTCTCACCTGAATGGTGCTGAACTTCTACCTGTTTAGTTTGAGCATGGAACACCGGGTTCTCAGCGAACTTGATTGAGCTCTGCTTTGCTTATTCCAATTAAATATTGATTGGAATTCCCTGTCCGGAATCGTTCACCAGGTTTCTGAGCCAGCAAGTTTTTATTTGCAAAAACTCCAATAAAATATAATTTATGACATGATATTTTTCCTCCGGAGTTGATGTATTAACTGCAAGAAACAATTTGCTTTAGAGCTCCCATACGATTGAAATAGCGTACCCTAAGGTATCCTGAAGTAGAATTTTTGTTTTCTTGATTGGAGGCCCGATCGGTATGGGAGACTCCAACTGTTGTTTGTCCTTGTCTAAACTTTTTCCCAAAATTGTGTACTTCAAAAGTGTATCAAACATTGTTTACAAATTTAATCATTTTCTCGGCTGCACCATAATGTGTCTACTCGATTTAGCCATAAACTGCCAGACAATTCCCAGACTTACTATATGGCCAATGGATTTTGATTGAGCACAATAGCTTGCACATAGGGTATGTGTAAACAATCCATCTGAGCAAGGAGATTTTAGTGATCAGACCAATCCTAGACTTACTATAAGGCCAATGTATTTTGATTGAGCACAATAGCTTGCATATAGGGTATGTGTAAACAATCCATATGAGCAAGGAGATGTTAGTGATCAGACCAATCCTAGACTTACTATATGGCCAATGTATTTTGATTGAGCACAATAGCTTGCATATAGGGTATGTGTAAACAATCCATCTGAGCAAGTAGATGTTAGTGATCAGATTCTGTCATGTGTTTCCCAAACTAGTTTAACGAAATAATTATTACTTTTCTAAGCATGAAGATGACCGCTGTTGTCGTCATGAATATTTGATTGGTGTTTGACAAAATTGAAGGTAATTATAAGCATCAAGGTTTGACATGTCAAATGTAGATTTAATCTTTTTGAGATTATCTGCATTCCTTCTGAACAAAATATTTTCAAACTATACCATCAAAATAACAGAACTAAGAAACATGAAGATGTAGAGGTTGTTGTAAGATTTGTTGCATATTAAACCTAAAGACTAGATATGTTTGTCAACTTTCTCA